CAGTTATTTTATATCAAAGAGCATATTCAATCTGTTACATTTCTTTCATTTATGCAGAGCAGTGTTTTTAATGTTCAAAGTATTTTGTGGTTTGAGTTCTTGTATCTCAGATAGACTTGTTATCTAGAACAACATGATTTTCCTGCATGTAATTCTATTTCTAATTCAAGTGTGTCTTAATTGCCAACATCTCCCCTTTGCTTATTCTGCTAATCTGAATATCTAGCATGCTAGAGACTCTAGTTCCCGTACTGAGTCTCCTGAAGGTAACAAGAAAGAAGCGAGTAGTCTCCCTCAAAGTTCTATTGAAAATGAAGGGATTAGTAATGGTGCTATAAATCACATTAGTCACGTGCCTGCAACACCAGCGAATGAATCTCCTGATTTGTTAGGAGAGACGGTTGAAGCATCCGTTTCTCAACAATCAACAGAAGTATCAAATTGCCATGGGAGCACTGTTTGTCGGCCTGCTGTCCGAGTACGTGCTCGGGTGAGTATTGCCACATTTTCTTTTTAAATAAACACATCTTTTTTCAATTCCAAGTTTTGTTTGCATCTCTCTACGACCCCCCCCCCCCCCCCACACACACACACTTTTACTTCATTCCCTAAGCATCAGTCTTTTGACTTTCTTTTAGTCAATTCTTTTTAACCGTCCAACTTTCCCTTTCAAACATTATTATTATTATTAAAATGATTATTATTATTATTATTAAAATGATTATTATTATTATTATTAAAATGATTATTATTATTATTATTAATCTCTCTTAATTACCATTTCTTGGACAGGGAAATAACATTCCATTAGAATCTTTTGATTTCACCTTTGAGGAAGAGTAAGTGGCTATCTTATTGTTTCTTGAAATACTTCTTCCGTCCCAAAAGATAGTTTTATTTCTGTTGGGGTGTGGAAATTATGATTTACATAGTCTTACCAGTGTAATGAACATAGAGTTTGTTTCCGTTAGACTTTTGATGCAATGCGGCATTTACTGCCCAAAACTTCATAGAAATTAAGGAGCAAGGGGATATTAATTTGTCATTCTGATTTAGTCCATTATTTACAGTAGCAAAAACATTGTAAATAGAATTTCTTTTAGCTCCATTGGCAATGAACATATTAGAAATAGTTCATTACGGGTATATTTTAAAACTTGCTTGTTTTTTAAACCAAATTTCGCATGCTTTACTTGATTGAGACAATTTTAAGAAATTAAATATAGTTAAAACTAGATTCTTTTGTTTAAATAGGACTATTTATTTGGGGAAAAAAGTGTTTCAAATAGGTTTTTTTGGGATAGATGGAGTACTAGAGAATAACTCAGCTTCTATATGACTAACATTGTTGAGTCTTCTTGTACGGTTCTCTTGTCCGTCTTTTGGCATGTCTCTTGTTGCAAAAGTTTTATCTTATATGCCGGAGAAAATTTAAACTGATTATCTATTAGTGTTTGGTTCGCCGATAGTCTGACATTCTATAAATTGGTTTTCCATTTTTTCCGTAGTTCTGAAATCTTGATGCTGGAGGCCACCAAAATAGAATTGGAAAACAAAATCGCTGAGGAGGTATGAATCATAATCTATGTTAAATGTGGATGGCATGATTAGTCAATGGATCATAATCATCCTTCATAACATTAGGCCAAGGGAAACACACTACTGAAAGAGAGGTTGGCAAAACAAAAGGATGCCCTATGTGAACGGCGTCTAGCTCTTCAAAAAGACGTATGCCCTCAATTAGCACTCTCCTCTTTCTATTGACTAGTAGTTTGTTCGTGGAGAACCAACCAAGCAGATTATATTTCTTTGTACTTTTTAAAGCATTTTGTTGCTTGTTTTGCCTCAGGTAGCGAGGCTTCAGGAGCAGTTGAAAAACGAAGAGGAGTTGAGGATGGTACTGGAAGCTGGACTTGACAAATCTCCACTACCATTGGCCATTCCTTCTAGTATTGATGAAGCAGTGAGTTGGTTTAAACCCAAAGTTCTCATATCATATGATAAATTAACTACTGCTTACTATGCCCTCTAATAGTAAACTTTTCTGTTTAATAGACCAAATCAGAACTTGAGGAGATTGCTCAAGTAGAGGCAGATATTACCCACTTGAAGCAGAGGGCTGATGATCTTGGAGCAGAACTCAATAAACAACATGAATTAATTTCTAGATTTTTAAATAATGACACCGGCAGTCAACCACGTCAAAATCTAACTCAGCAAGGAAACCAGTAAGAATTTCTGTACTTCTTTACTCCTTTTTTCAGTTTGTTGCATGCATTCCTTGGGATAGAGCTTTATCTGATCTCTATTTTTTTTCATCCACTCTTTTTCATGATGAAATTCTTTTTCTCTATTTACTGTTTTTGCATATTGATGTGACTATAACATGGATAATAGAAACATGGATGTGGATACCAATACTACTTCACAAGATCAAGAGAAGTCAGTGAGAAGTCAGGTACTTTTTAACTGTAGACTGGGGTTTCTGTCCATTATTATTTTAGAAATGAATAATAATCGTAATAATTTTTTTCAAACCCTGCAACTTTCGATGTTGAGTCGGGGGTCTCTTTGGAAACAGCCTCTCTACTTTCGAGTAGGGGCAAGGTCTGCGTACACACACCCTCCCCAGACCCTACTCTTGTGGGATTTAACTGGGTTGTTGTTGTTGTTGTTGTTGTTGTTGTTGTATTTATAATAATTTAGCAGGGCTGTCCCAGGTACAGCCTAGGTGGTGTAATGGCACCAGGCTCAAAAGAAAGAAAAAAAGAATGCCAAATTTTTAAAAAAGAGTATTAGGTAAATATAATCATTTGATAAATAAAGAGGCAATATACTGCTGGCTAAAAAAATTCTGATTTCATATTTGGTAAATGCTAAAGCATAAAAATGCATGCTTAAAACTTAAAACTTAAAAATCTATTCGGGGTTTGGGCAATTTGTGTTAAAACCAGAAAAGGCTACGCAAACGACTGGTGTAGCAATTGATGTTTATGAAATTTCTTGATAAGTTTGTTCTAAAACACGTCAAAGCACAGAACATTCCTCTAGTGCACAATGCCCCAAATTCACAGGGCTGGCCCTATTATTAAGATAAGAATGGGTTTGAAATAAAATTGCATGTGTGAAGCAGCAACATGATACATCTTGTAACAAGGCCGATAGCCAGAGAGAGAAGAAAGACGAATCTGAAACGCCCGTAAGCAAACAAAGCAAACAATCAGGTTCTGCATGCAATAATCCCAACAGCTCTGGGGCTCTGATTGTGGCTTCAACAACCTCAAAAAAACCTGGTCCAAGAAACGAGGTACGCTCTATTGCTCTTGTTTCCCCCCACTCATGTTGGAATGCATTACACACATGACAATGTGCTGTTTTTACCCCACCCCCACCCCCCAAAGGAGTATTTAAATGTCAAAGCTAACAAGTCCATTCCATTTATTACCAGGGAGCTAGTGCTTCTCCTGCATCCGCACTGTCAAAGCTAACAAACCCGCTTAACTTCCTTAAAGAGCGACGCGCGCAAATTGCCAACGAGCTTTTAGATGTGGACAGAAGCCTGAATTACTGTCAAATTAGCCTATCTCCCGAGAGGAAAAGATTAGATCGTCCCCCGGAAAACTCATCGTCTGAAAAAAAGTAAAAGGAACAAACAGAGAGCTATGGTGTGTGCATTCTACTGGCAAAAGTAAAACTTCATCACATTTGATGGGGAAAAAAACGAAGATGAGAAAAGCTCGATTCAATCATTGATCCAGATGATGTTTTTATAGCAGCTCTGTTTTCTAATTCATGGTTCTCCAATGTTTTTTTTTCTTTTTCCTTTTTCACGTCCAGTTTTAGATGATGAGTAAAGTAAGGTGGCGGGATAATTCTCAGGGAAGCCCCCTCCTAGCTAAAGTAAACGATCTGAATCAGTGGAATATTGATTCAACAATTTTGATAATTATTCGAAATCGAACGTGTAAGGAATGCTTATAACTACCCTAGCTAGTGTAGGGTGGTATTTCAATTCTCATTTGAAATCATTTTTTCAGAATACGAATCACGAACCCAATAAAAAATATTCGTTTCGTTTTTTTATTAGTATATTTTGCAATGACTATTTCACTTGAGTTACGTTCTTACTTATACAAGTAATGCATTATATTGGAGTATACTTATATGGTCCCAAGGTCCACATTTAAAATATGGATTTTCTCATATTTTTCATGAGCTTGTATGTAGATACTTATATTTTGCAAAAGGTCCATTGCTTCTATGCTACAAATGCACTAAGATGCATAAGATAAGCATGGACTTTAGGTCCACATAAGAATTTGCTTATATTATTATATTTATTACACGTTCATTTGTAAAATGGTGTTCGGATACTTATTTGAGTTCTGGCACTAGATATATTTAAAATCTATCGAGTGCAATAAATCGAATACCTATATTTTTTTAAAAAAAAAAGAGTATGTTTTTCTTTCGAACAAATCTGGATTTGCCACTGTATTATAATAACAATAATAATAATCATAATCATAAAATTATTATGATTATTATTATTTTTAGAGTATTATTATTACTATTATTGTTATAACGGAGTACGAGTATAATATTATTATGACTTGATGCGATTTAGAGCAAATAATTTGGCGCTCATGCTACGTGGAGATCAATAATTTTCTTGCTTTCAATTATCAAATAATTATAACCATATACCATTATTAAATAGTAATAATAACGGTTTTTTAGAGCAAATGCTTTTTTTAAATAGGAATTTTTATTAGAGCAAATGCTTTTTTTAAATAGGAATTTTTATTAGAGCAAATGATTTTCTTTCTTTTTTGTTAACCCGAAGGGAATATCTCATTTGTTGTCCCAAAGTTGGATAACAGGAGCTCTTCCTAAACTCTGGGCCGGTTTAACACATGAGGCCTAAGTCCATATTTGGGCCGACCCAATTTCCAATTAAATCTTTCCAACAGTTATTAGAGCTATACTATACTCACTGGCCTCCTTCCTCCGTCTCCATCGACGTGCAATTCGCCCCTTCTTCCATATGCATAAACTGATAAACCTCAGGTATTTCTCCATTTTCATCTTCATCTTCTCTGCTTAATCCGACCTTCTGAACTGTTCTAGAAGAAAATTATGCATTTTCGCAGTTATCCAGAAATGAAGAACAATCTGTAGATGTTTTTTTTATCAATTGTGCATTTTAGATGGTCCGAATTCCAAATCTGGAACACTAGTATATAGATCTTCCATTAGCCTTTTTTCTCTCGAAGATACTAACGAAACGCCACTCCCCAGCTCTGGTTTTCGATTTTCAGATCAGTATTTTTGATGTATGCCATAAAAGGCCATCCATATGCATCGGTATATTGTCATGTGAAATGAGTAGGGTGTTGTTTTTAGAAAATTGAAATCTGTGCTTATTTCTTATTTTAAGACGCTTTTACAATTTGGTGTTCTGGAAGCATAATGGAACATCTGCTTATTGCTTTTTGTGAGCAGTTAAAAGCTCATTTACTTAGATGACTTGTAAATCCCACCTAGAGGTTTCTGTAGCTTATTCTGATGTAGTGAGGTAAAGCCGGAAAGAGGAGGTTCTAACTTTCCCTAAATTGGTAGGAAATTGGAAGATAGTTTCACTCTAAGTTGTATGGGGACGGGGTCGGGAATGGGGAAACACTAATTTTTATAAATTGTACAAATGATTTGGGTGTGGGGATGTCCCAAGTACCCAAACGGGAATGTTTTGGGGAGGGGAAGTGGCACTTACCCCCAAGATTCGAGCAACATAGGTTTTATGCCTTTTACTTTGATCCTCACCATTTTGTCTGGATACGAACAATGTATACTTGACCTAATCATCTTCTATCTGAACATGTCCTCCGACCTTTTTCTCTTTATACAGAGCTGGACGTTTCCCGCCTTTTGGTAGTTAGTTTTAGGTTCTTCATCATCCATTGACCATTGGACTTCATTTTTATAATTGTGTTTGACCTTTTAATTCTATTTTTCTTTGCTTCCCAAACACACTTAACTTTTTATTAGTGTGATTCTGTGACAGAAGATTCTTACCATTTAGCACATTTGTCATAGTGCTACTTGTTTAATTGGGTCATGCTATGTTACCTACCCTCATGTGATTAATCGAATGGTTGAAGTATATTCCTGGACTGTTTCTATTTAAAAAAATCAGCGAAGCATGCTTATATGCTATCTTAGTGCTACTTCCATGTAGGATATTACTCGATTTATCAAAAAGTGAATGACAATATGTTATTAGTCAAATTTTTTGAAGTAGACTACTCCTTGAAGTATTTTTTTAAATATTATTGATACAAATTGAAAAGCACTTGAAGGATGTTCCCATGTTTCCTTCTTTTCATTTTACATATACTCGTGATTAGTATTATTTTTATTCCCATATGCTGAACCTGTAGTTTACTTACAATTATCTAGTTCGATAGAGTAGCTTTTTATGCCTATGGGAAGACATAAATAAGCAGAATGCCATCAAAACGCTCTAGTCCAGCAGATGAAGATGACTCCAGGCCTGTTCGTACAAGTGACAGGCTCAGGAGAAAACCAAAACCATATGTCAATGGTCGTCAATTTTTGTATTATATGGAACCTCGGAGAACAAAGACAAAAAGAAAGATGCCAGCTTCTCATATTGCAAAAATATTCAGTAATCGGCCAGTACGGAAATCCAAGACAAAAGTATGTATTTCTGTTTTCTAGTTTTTTTTTGTGTTAAAATAATTGAGAAGATGTGATTGTATTCTCGTTGCCCTTTTCTTTTTTTACTTTGTATCTTCTCTGTATCTTCTCTTTGATTCTAAATTTAGTAAATGAGCTTCTCCCTTTGTTATTCAAATTACGCTGCAGACCCTTTCCATTGGTATTCTGTTGCTATGGACTAGCTTATCTTGCAGATGTTTTCTTGTGTAAAAGCTCAGTAGTATATTTTTGTTGGTTTTATTGGCAGCCAGTTGTGGCCGATCTTCGTCGCTCTACTAGAAAGAGGAGGATTTCTGTAAACCTCGAAGATTATACAGATAGTTCTGGAACAGAGGACAATGACCTTATGGTATATCACTTTTAGTTGTTTGTTCATCATCATATGTTATTCGGTAGGATAGCTCATATATAAGCATACACCTATCTGTGAGCTCTTATGATTTTAGGTTTTTAGTTTTAGCATGTAAAGGGAACTAATAAATCATTTATCGGAATCTGAAGCATTGTCTGAATTTTCATCAGAGCCCCAAATATGGACGTCCCACGAACCAAATTGATAATAACAGTGCAACTCAAGATGAACTAACACCTCGACGTGCTGGGCTGCGCCCTCGCCGTGCAGGATTACAATCTCGTCGTCCAACACCAGTTGCTAAAAAAACATTGAAGTTAGAGTCTGATGATGATCAGGGCTCTTCTGAGGAGAAGGTGGGCCAAGACGAGCCGGATAATGGCAATGACGCAGAGGGTAATGATGCTGAGGATGAGGGCGATGGAGATGAAGATGGTGAAGATGAGGATGGTGATGACGAGGAGGGTGAAGAACAGGAGGGCAGAAGGCGGTATGACCTCCGCAATCGTGCTGACGTTCGGAGATCCATTGAGGAGGGGAGTAGTAAACAAAGACCACGGTCTCCTCGTAGGGTACTTCAGCAAGGAATGGGAAGTAATAAGGTGAACAGAGATGTAAGAAAAGGAGGACACCGAGTTCATAAGCGTCACAGAATGACACGAGCTGATGACTCTGATGATTCTCTTCTTGTGGATGAGTTGGACCAAGGTCCTCACTTGCCTTGGGGGGGTAGTAGAACGGGCGGTAGATCTGGCCCGCCTTGGCTTTTAGGGGGTCTAGACACTCATGGCACATGGGGGTTAAACCTTGCTGCTGCATCTGGTTGGGGTCACCAAAGTGACACCTTGACCAGCTTGACTTCGGGCATTCAAACTGCCGGACCCAGCTCCAAGGGTGGGGCTGATATTCAACCATTACAAGTTGATGGGAGCATAAGCTTTGATGACATAGGCGGGCTATCGGAATACATCGATGCCCTTAAGGAAATGGTTTTCTTCCCCTTATTGTATCCGGACTTTTTTGCGAGTTACAACATCACCCCTCCACGGGGTGTGCTGTTGTGTGGTCCCCCTGGCACAGGTAAAACACTGGTTGCCAGAGCATTAGCTTCTGCTGCTTCAAAGGCTGGCCAGAAAGTCAACTTTTACATGAGAAAAGGTGCTGACGTTCTCAGCAAATGGGTCGGTGAGGCCGAAAGACAACTGAAGTTGTTGTTTGAAGAAGCTCAAAGGAACCAACCTTCCATAATTTTCTTTGATGAGATTGATGGACTTGCCCCTGTGAGGTCTAGCAAACAAGAGCAGATTCATAATTCCATTGTGTCAACTTTGCTTGCCTTAATGGATGGTCTTGATTCACGCGGGCAAGTAGTCTTGATTGGAGCCACCAATAGGGTCGACGCAATTGATGGTGCCCTTCGCCGTCCTGGAAGATTTGACCGTGAGTTCAATTTCTCCTTGCCTAGCCTTGAGGCACGAGCTGAAATATTAGATATTCACACGCGTAAGTGGAAACAGCCTCCTTCGAAGGATCTTAAAATGGAGTTGGCTGCAAGTTGTGTGGGATATTGTGGGGCCGACCTAAAGGCACTGTGCACGGAGGCTGCTATTCGTGCTTTTCGTGAGAAGTATCCTCAGATTTACACTAGCGATGACAAGTTTTTGATAGATGTTGACTCAGTTGAGGTTGAAAAGCATCATTTCATGGAGGCCATGGCAACGATAACCCCTGCTGCTCACAGAGGATCTATAGTTCATTCAAGACCATTATCACCGGTTGTTGCTCCTTGTTTACAAAGACATCTCCGGAAAGCTATGGACATTATTTCAGACATTTTCCCTCTTTCAGTCTCTTCAGAGTTGACCAAACTTTCCATGCTTTCTTATGGCTCTGTGATTCCTCTGGTGTACAGGCCTAGAATTTTGATATGTGGTGGTGAAGGAACCGGGCTGGTATATACTCTATGGAATCCTTTGTTTAAATATGATCTGCAACCAATGTGAACTGCCAACCAAGTGTACTCATTTAGTTTTGCAGGATCATATAGGGCCTGCAGTTTTACACGAGTTGGAAAAGTTTCCTGTGCATTCACTTGGACTTGCCTCTCTTCTTTCTGACCCTGGTGCCAAAACACCAGAGGAGGCATTGGTCCACATATTTGGTGAAGCTAGAAGGACAACTCCATCGATACTTTATTTACCTCAATTTCATCTCTGGTGGGAAAATGTGAGTTTTCATATGTTGGTATTTTTTGAATACACATTATACTTTCTGTTTGGGGATCAAAACGGTGTGATCCTCACTATTTGCGTCAGGCACAAGACCAGCTCAAGGCTGTTTTGCTTTCCCTGCTGGACGGACTGCCATCTGACCTTCCTGTATTATTATTTGGAACATCCTCAGTGCCACTCTCTGAGTTAGATGAAAATTCTTCTTCAATATTTCACGATCATAATAATGTGTACGTTTTCTTTTTCCAAATTTCATTTCACGTAGTTACATAATTTTTTCCCATAGAATCTTCTTGGTTCTCCATACACACATAAGTGGATTCTCTGTTTTGCTTATGCCCTAGCGTCATGCATTATATTGCTATGCTTAAAGTGTTTGTCTATTGTGCCAGTTGCTTCTAACTGGCAAATTCTTGTGGAGCTGGATTTTGTTACAAGTCATTTTCTGGCATCAGCTAGTTTTTATATCATGTTCTCGTCTGCAGGTGCTAATTGTGGACCAACTGTCTTCTAGATGCTTTAGACTTGAATGTTACAGACTATTTAGAACATAACCTTTCTATGGTCTCAAGCTTCAAATCATTATGCATTTTGGTGTACATAATCCAAGTCCAACCAAATCTCTGTGTTTAACATGCTAGAACCTGTAATATACCACTGAGTCATGTCATCTATACATAAGTCTACATGTTCAACATTTTTTTAACGCTGGGGGAACTAAAATATATATGTTCTTTTGGAAGTTTGTGTGTAGACGCACCAACAGCTGAAGATAGATACTTGTTCTTTGATCGGCTGACCCAATCTGCTTTGTCGATCCAATTTGACACTGTTACGAAGAAGTCCAACAGATCAGATTCTCTTCCTGAGCTTCCAAAGGCTCCAAAAGTGGATATCAGGCCAAAGGCTTCTGAGTTAAAATCCAAAGCTGAAGCTCAGGGACATGCTCTTCGGCGAATGCGTATGTGCTTACGTGATATTTGTAACCGGTAATCTATTTCTCCTACTGGAATGATTAAATTATGCTTTTATTGAGTGATTATTTACTTACATCATTAGTACGAAGAGTTTAAAACTGTGTCCACAACTTAATGGTTTGTTTGGTTTGTGGAACTCTAGGTTTTGGAGAGGGGTGTTGTTTTTTGTTTTACTAATTTTATATATTTGCTATCCTTAGACTAGGAAATCAATATATGCTTAGCTAAATCATTTATTTCTATATGATTATTAATCTTTGCTTTCTTTTCATCCATCAAAATACAAGAAAAAATTGATAACGTAAATATCATCCCTTCCTCTAAAATCCCCCCTGCCAAAAAAGGACTACAGTGTAAAAGCGTTAGAACAACTATCCTATTTATGGATTATTCTATTAATGGATGTGCAAGTTTGTCAAAGCATGGCATGGGCTTTTCTAGTTCACACATGTAGTGATGCTTATTGCAAAGTTTAGCTCGCACACCTAGGTGCTGTTGGAGCCAGGTATTGACAAGTTTAAAATGAATTCTTCTGGTTGATGAACTGAAATATGAAGACTTTGGTTCGTTTGAAAATAATTTATAATTCAGTTGTTGATTGTGTGAATTATTGTAGTGCTCACCTTGTTTTTACGGACTTGTTTCTCTTTTCCATTCTTTTCCCGCTATTTCCTTGACATACATAAGCATGTATTCTGATCACTTTCTTATTTCATATGTGCAGAATCTTATATGATAAACGTTTTAGTGCTTTCCATTATCCAGTAATGGACGAGGATGCACCAAACTATCGTTCAATCATTCAGAACCCCATGGACGTTGCAACTTTGCTGCATCGTGTTGACAGTGGCAAGTATATCACGTGTAAGGCATATCTGGAGGATTTTGATCTTATTCTGGCAAATGCAAAGGTGGAGTGTATCTAAATTTACTCTATGCTAATCTTTATGTATATTTTTTTTAAACATTCTTTTGCCGGTTTCTAATTTATCCTGATGTCTGAATGTGGAATTTCTTTACTATTTATCTCATTCTTCCATAAATTCAAAGTTTTTCTTTTCATATTACTACAAAATAAGAATGATGATTGCCATTCTCATGGATCTCACCCATAGCTTTTTGGCAAGCTATTTAAAATATCTTTTTTTTACGACCAGTCTATGTGTCCCTTGCCAATGGAGCTAAAAGAGTCATTTTGACAATGTTTTATCTTTGGGTAAATAGTGTAGTGTATCAAAACAACAAATTAAAACCCCCTTGCTTCTTTCTTTCTATAAAGTTTTAGGTCACATATGCAACAATGCATCAAGTGTCTTATGGATATGGTCTCTAATTTTATAGGGGTAAGGTTGCGTGCCCCAAGGAGTTGGGAATTTAGGGCTATACTGGGTTTTTTTGTTGTTGAAGAGCGGTCCATGTTGTGAAGTATTCCCTCCGGAATTAGTTGTCCACTTTCTAAAAACTTGTATTTTAAAGAAATAAGTTTAAAATTTCAAATAAGTCCTTCAAATGAGTTAGCACTCATTCATTTCAATAATGCTCATACTTCATATCTCTAGTATATTTTGGACAATTCATCATGATATCTTTATTGAATATTGATAGTGGACAATTTTGGACAAACAAAAACAAGCGAACAACTAACGCCGGACGGAAGGAGTAACTTTTATAAGAAATGCATTTGGAGTGAAGAAAGCTTTTCTGTGTTTTCTTTATGGTAACTACTGAAATATGTTACACCTCTCCGGGGGGGGGGCTAATATGAGTATATAAGGACTTGCACGACATTTGGTTTGAAGGGTGAATTTATTCATTTTATTCATGTCAAAGAGTAACACACACATTCCTTTGGTTGATGTTGTCTTTCTTCCTCAACTTTCCATTTCTCCTAATATTAATCTTTTCCGAATAAAATCCCTGTATAAATTAGTTATTAACCCCTTTTATTATAAATAAAAAATTGTGAGCCCTTTTTTGTGCATTAAGAGTGCAATAGTACATCCCACTCATTCTTGTTACAAAGCAAACCAGACATCAAAAATATAATTTGTTATTCACACCAATTGAACAATTGAATATAAATTCCTTGTTCCTAGTGCATTCTTTTCCCAGGAAATAAATGTCGCCTTCTCTTAAAAAATTCCATCTTTCACATCAAGCATGTCATTAGCTCTAGAAGGTTTCATCCAATAAACTGTTCAGAATCTGATTTATGAAGCTTCTGATGCAGAAATATAATGGCGATGATTACAATGGGTCGAGGATTGTAAGCAGAGCGTATGAGCTGAGGGATTCTGTATGTTCTCGCTGCGACTATGGTTTTCTCTCAGCAGCTTTTAGCTTCTTCCAGTTGATATAGTGGAGTTTTGGTCTGTGTTTTCCCCATTTTTTCCATGTCAGGTGCATTCCATGCTTTCTCAGATGGACCCCGCACTGGTTGCATTATGTGAGAAGATTGCAGCAGAAGGAGGTCCGGTGTCGGTGCCAGAAGAATTTAGTGAGAGCTCTGTTGTGCCACAATCTCCTGTTCTTGTAACTGCCGTCACTAGGGCAAGTGCACGGTTAAGGAATGTCCAGCCAGAAGTTAACCTAGATCAGAGTTACGAAGCTTTGAAAAGGCCAAAGAAGCATGCTGATGTCACACACACAGGTACTTTTAAATTGAAAAAAAAGCAGAAAAGGAAAAGTCTGATTTGATTGCCTGGTCATCAAATGCTTTTTATTATTCGTCTAAAATAATGATGATCAGCCTTCTACACCTGTGTTATGCATACTTTTTTATCATTTAGATTGATTTGGTCATTGGAATTGTCTTTCCATCATCTCCGATGGAGCCAAAATTTCACCATTTTTTGGCTTTGAGGTGTGATGGAATAAATCAAAATGGATCTCTAAACTGTCTGCGCTTCTTTAATTAAGTTAGTCAAGCAATGCAACTTTCGACGTTGAGCCGGAGGTCTCTTTGGAAACAGCCTCCCTACTTTCGAGTAGAGGTAAGGTCTGCGTACACACACCCTCCCCAGACCCTACTCTTGTGGGATTTAACTGGGTTGTTGTTGTTGTTGTTGGTCATTGGAATTGAGTTGCCAGAAATTGGGCAATTACCCTGAATTCCACATTTTTAAGAAAGTTCAAGAGTACACTGATTTGAGGGAATTTTCAGATCCTGATGTTAATCCCACATATCTTAGCTATGCCCCATCCTTGGATTTTATGTCAATTCCTATCTTTCCAAACATAGTTTTGTACTCGTTTTGGTATACTTATTTTGGCATTACTGGACATATTTTTACTAAGCACGAAACTAATAACATTGTACAGGCTAAACTGACTCATGATGAAATAACAGTTACTTGAAAAGAAAATGTCATATCTATATTCATTCCTACATATTGTCTTTAATTTATTGATCAAATATATTTCAAAAAGTTTTGTTATACTATAATTCAGCCATTTTAAGCCTTACCAAAGAGTTTCATGACCTGATTCCTACAGATTTAGTTTTGAGTACAATCCCACTACCAAAGCAACCCCACCTGCTTACCGAAACACATAAGATATCAGCGAAGGGACCATGTTAGACCATGTCCAACCCATTACACCAAACTGAAATGCAAATATGCGTTTAGAATTAGGGTATGGTGGGAGGAAGCTTGGCTCAGAAACCCAACAATTAGCATACAATTGAAGATGCTCTTAGGGACACCCCACACCTTCTCACAAACATCTGTTACATCTTCAATGTCAGTTGATCTCTGTGAGAAGGTTGGAGTTCAAAAAGGGGTCAGAGTTGAGGTAACTGGAGCATATTTTTGTTGGGCAAGAGGCCTTTGACCAAACAAGGGTTCCCCCACAAACATTTTTTGACATCCTGTTATAATTTCATTCGATTTAAGCTGATAGTATGTTTTATATGGCTGGCATTTTGATTCAACACCAGAAGAGGGATCACAGCCTCAAAAATCATTGGAACACAAGTCATCAGAGGAACAACCTGAACCTGCTGCTGCTGGTGAACAGAACATGCCGCCGGAAAACATGGATTCTGATGCCCAACCCAACAACTCCGGCAGCTTCAGGAGACAAAAGGGTGACATGTCAGGCGGAGAGATTTCCAGCAAAGTCGAGTACATCAAGAAATGTTTCATGAGGAGGACTAAAGAGTACGGCATTCCCCAGCTCGAAAGACTGTACACTCGGCTCATGAAAGGCGTTTTAGAAACAAAAAATGATGTAAATGACGACAGGAAAGACCAAAAGTCTGCAGTTTTGAGCTTTTTGTTGACATTTGCAGATGAAACCTCCAATTTTTTAATGTGACACCAAATTTTCCCTCACAGGTAAGAGTTACAGTACTAAATTAGTTTAAACTCTGATTTATTTAGTTGTCAAAGAAATTGCCCTTTTTTCTTTCTTAGCTGAGCCCTCACTGTATCTGATGGATTCCACTAGGAAGAGATCTTTTTTTATGATATACAGTGTATATGCAGACTTACTATTGAGATATGTAAATGGACATTCTTTGAAAGAAAAAAAATTGAACAATTGTATACTATTCTAATTCTAATGCTTTGAGAGAATATGAGGCAAATAGAAATAAATACTACTCCTTCCGTCCACAAATAAACTTTACGTTCACTATTCACAGGGTCAAACTTTATTCACTTTGTTGGCCTATTTTTGTGGATAAAATAATATAGTCATGTCTCCTCTAGTTTTGTAGATCTTTTGATATAGTTTTTTAATATGTAATTTTTATTTTTCAGTTCTACACCATTTTTCATATTAAATGATTTGAAAATAACTTTAGTCAAACATCGTAACGCGTAATGTAAAGCTTATTTGTGGACGGAGAGAGTAAAACACAAAGGAAATTAACATTAAGAAAACTGAGCAAAAATTGAAAATATTACTAAGACGATATACAATGGATGAGCAACTTGTACTCACAATTTTGATTTGTTCGGAGTAGCATTTTTGAAATAGCATTTTGTACCTTAATTAGCATTTTGACAACAAGAAATATTTGCACTAAATAGCACTAAAACTTAAGTCATTTCTCTAAATAGCACTTAAATAGTTTTATTTCTTAAATAGCACTTAATAATGTCCATAATGTCCAGTGATGACGAATATTTACTTGAATAATGACCAATGCATAATGACTAAAAGTGCTACATTGGGAAGAAAAACATATATGGTGCTATTCAGGGAAAGTCATTATCTTTTAGTGCTATTTAAGTAAATTTCTCTTTTGACAAATCAAAATATTGTTTTGGGTCAAAACTCCAAACAAATAGGATTATGCCAATACTCTCTACATCCAAATATGTTCTCACTTGACGTTCCAGCACTATGTTTGACGTTTATCCGTTTGTTTTGAGTATGTGATTGATCCTTTTATCTTTTCCACGCCAATAAAATAAAAAAAATGGAGCGAAGGAGATCATAATTTTCACATTGTATTCCATATGATGACTTGTTTGCACCAAATAATAATAATAATAATAATAAATAATAATAATAATAATAATAATAATAACAATAATAACAATAATAATAATAATAATAATAATAATAATAAAGACATTACACGCTCGGAATTAAAATTGTTCTCAGTTGCAGAGTTCACGGGTGATTCCAAGGCGTGAATTAACGGTGTCAAACACGACCCTAAGGTTCTGTTGCTGCAAACTGGCGATCACATTCAACACAGAGTTGACGCCGTCCGGCGCCGCCGCCATTGCCAGACAAGCTAAGTTCCCATAACTGCTGTGAATCAAAGTGTTCTCCACCGGCAACACCAAATCCATACCTTCCAAGTGGAACGTCACCGTGGGGGCCGCCGACTCATGCCTCACAGCGAAGCACGTGTCGAATGCCCCCAGGGAGCTGAACGGTCCCGCCACCTGTCTCCTGAACTCGTCCCGAACAGCTTCGTAAGCCGGGCCCACGAACCGGGTTATGACCGTGCCCGAGTCGATGACCGTGCCCGACCCGGTGTTCGGGTCGAACTTCAGGAGGTCTTGTGGTATGTGGATTGTGACCTTGCCCACGCTCACCCCCGTGAGGTTCACGTAGTATAGGGACGGGCGGTGCGGGTTCTTGAGGAGCGGGGTCGTGTGCTTGGTCTTGGGCTGGCCCAGTGGGCCGAGCTTGAGCGAGCCCGAGAAATAATACGACTTGAAACTCGGAAGGCAATATGAGAACAAGCCCGAGTAGAGGGCCCCAGCTTGCGAAAGCAATGATGTGGGCCCTCTACCCAAACCCAAAAGGCCTTGGGGAGCAATGTTGTTTCCCGAGATAGAAGTAACGCACCCGAACTCGTAGCTCGGGATGACATCACTCCCGAGCCTGAGCGTGTCACGTGCCAGCGTGGCTGAGAATGACGAGTCCCCACCGTAGGACTGGTTGAACGAGCAATCACCCCCGCCGCCCGACCCGGTCTGCGGGCAAGCGAGTCCCCGAGCCCGAGTGCACTCGGGCTGGGCGCAATCGACCGACGAGTAACTCGACGACGCGTTCGAAGCAAAAGGGGCGGCGGGACCCGAGCAACACCCGCACGGGACCCACGCGCTGTCCCGGCTCGTGTCCAGGACCATGAACATGAGCTGGGGCGGCGTGCCGATTTTGGCCCGGACCACGTAGTTCCCGATGTTCAGCACGTTCTGGCCCGAGGCCACGGGAACCGTGGTGGCCCGAGCGCGCTGAACACCGGAAACCTTCCGTTCGGAGAGGTACGAGAGTCTTTCGGCATCGTTGGAGACCAGGAAGGAGATGAATGTTGTGTTGTCCCATGAAGGGGAGGATTTGGGAAGCCTGAAAGGGGAGCATTTGCCATAGATGTGGATGATTGAAACGTCGTCGTTTTCGTCACTACAAAGATCCCCGGCTATGGCGGCTCTTGGTGACAGAAGGGAGATGAAGGTGAGAAGAATGAATATGTGAACTGCGGCCATGGCTCTTGCTTTGTTTTCTTGCTAGTATTATTATTATTAATTAGCATGCCATAAATAGGATGGTGTTGAAAATATGAAAGTTAGGATCATATTTATATTATTATTACTCCCATCCTCCGTCCTATAATGTTCTTCCCGATTCATTTTACGAGGTTTGACCGACTTTATTTTCAATTCAATTTATTTGATAGTAGGTGTAAAATTATAAAATAAAATTTATATATTTAAAAACTACATCAAAAATTCTACAAAATAAGTGATGACAAGACGATATTATTTTATCAAATACCTAATGAAAATAGGTAAAAAAAGTGATTAAAGTTTGACCGAGTAAAAAATGAGTGGGAAGAACATTTTAGAACGGAGGGAGTACATATTTTCATAATTTCATGGCATATACTCCATGAGTCTTCTTCTTTCATTTCATTCGTATCGCCTAAAATACTTCTAACTCAACTTAAATATCTAAAAATACTTTTAAAACAACTTTATACTTCTTTCATTTTATCTCACTTTAATTTTCCTATTAAAAAGGGAGGTATACTACACAATTTGATAATGTAGCATGTACTCCATCCGTCCCAAAATTTTTTTCATGTTTTGACGTTTATAAAATTTAAATAAAAAATATGTTCGAATTGATGACTCTCCAAAAAATATTATCCGTAAAAGTAGAATGTAATGTGATGTGATTACTCAATAGTAAATAGATACGATATACTCGTAATATGTGAGGTAAGAATAATCATGGGTGAAAATGATTTTTTAAAATGCAAGAAAAAATAATTTTGGAATAAATAAAAAAGAAATGATAAAATTTTGTGACTAGAAAGAGGTATATTTGATTACTTAATAATAAAAGAAAGTACTAATTCGGTCATGAAAAAAGTTTAAGAATTATAGTAATGAATAAAAAACTAGTCATCAATTAACAAATATTGTCACTCCTATAAAATGATTGAAATTTAGAACTTGTTTTGGAAGTCATTTATGGGCCTAAAAGTTTTTGAGGTGCCGCTTATAATCATTGAATGATACTCCGTAATTTGATGAATCCATTCATTGCTTTCACTTTGTTATTTTAATTTTGAATTTTCTTTACATTCCATTTTTTTTTCTCACTAACCATATCTTTTAGATTTTTCTTATAAAATATCTTTAAAATACCATCTCATATGCTCCCTTTAATTTGTTCCAAAATATTTTACATTTTACACAAAATAAATGAAGTGAAATTTTTAGTTTTTTAAATAGATTTTATTTAAAGATTGGTATATAAATTAAAAATAAAAGTTACATATTTAAAGGCTACATCAAAAGTTCTACAAAACAAGAAGTGACAAAAAAATTTTATTTATGAAATAATTAAAGAAAACACAAAAATAAACAATTTTTTTTGTGACTTTTAAATAGTAAAGGGCGTAATTCTTTTTAGGACGGAGAGATCAATGAATGCACGATATACGGAGTAATTTTATTTAATTGTTGGTCAAATGTTGATCTTGGTTGATTTCAAAAAGTCAACAATCGGCAAACTCAGTCGTAATACTTCACTAAAAAAGAATAGAGATTCGGTGGGTGATGGCTATAAACCACCGAGTATATTAAATAATATTACGTATAAGTTTTAGAGAGAGAGAATGCAAAGTAGGAGTATATTGACTTAGAATTCGGATCCATTACAATGAGGGTACTACCCCTTTTATAGTGGATACAATACATTAAGTCAAAGCCCTCTGATCGAGGCTCGTCGTCTAGCGGACGTCACCTGTCTCATGGTCTTGTCCCTTTCATCCTTTCACTTTCACCAAGTCCTTGTCGCACGTCGTTTTCTTCACGTCGTTGTCATGGGGTTCGGGCTCGGCTTGGCCGGCCGAGCCGAGCCGAGCTGGTGGGATGAGCAGAGCTCGTGAGTCGAGCCGGGAAGGCCGAGCGGAGCTCAGGTGCCAAGCAGAGACGCCCAAGCCCGACACTTCGGCAAAGTACATGTTGACGTCAGCCCTATGCTGACGTGGGGTTATTCCCCATCAGTGGGCGTTGCACATTTGGTAAGGGTAACATTTGAATTTGATTATTTGCTACTGTACTAAGAGAGAACTATGTTAAGCATAAGACATTTGTAATACACAGCGCAGATTTCACTCTTTATCACTGTCTTTGATTACCATTTTGAAAAGGTGGAACGCTCACCCTGGCCCGACATAATTGTTAGGGGAGAAAACATAGTAAATCATGCTATAATCTCAATCTGGTTCTAAAAGATCTGAGGCCACCCATGCGCAGTGCACACAAATAGCCGCCGCTGCCAGGATTTGATCAAAGAATCAACAGATTTGACATCATTTTCTTCTTAGATCAGTTAAGCTACCCTTGCGGGAATCTGGATGGAGTTAAACATGGCCTTACACGTGACGATGAGAAAGGAAAAAAACAAAAAAGTTGGGAGTGTTGGAAACAATAATGGAGAAACAGTAGTGAAGCTCGTGAACCCTTCCTTCCTCAAACGGCGAGCGTACGCTACTGGTTTTTTTTTCTTTTCCTTGATGGGCCCAATCAACGCCGTGCAGAATGGGCTCCCTCACGGGGATCCGTTGACGGGCCCTACTGCGGCCCTATTCGCATTTTAATTTTCTTTCCAAACAAACACTGTTCATTTTTCCTACCCGACTTCATATCCCCAGTCGGTTTTTATGAATTTTTGTTTTCGTGGTTCTACCATGTTCCAATTTTGATTACAATTTAGAAATTACAAAATAAAATCTTATGATTTTTAAAATTATTATATTTACAAATTGATACATCAATAAAAAAATAAAAGTTACTCCCTCCGTCCCAAATTATAATGCATGTTCACTATTTATAGGGTCAAACTTTATTCACTTTCTTTCTATATTTTCGTAAGCAATTTGATAAAATAAAGTACTATTGTCACTACTAGTTTTGTAGATCCTTTGATGTACTATTTTAATATGTAATTTTTATTTTTTAACTTATACCATTTGTCATATAAAATGATTTGAAAATAATTTCAGTCAAACATCGTAAACCAAAACAGACGTTATAAAATGAGACGGAGAGAGTATATATTAGAAAACTACGTTAAAAATTCTGAAAAATAATTTATGTATCTTATTTTATCAAATAATCAATGAAAACACACAAATAAAAAAGTTATCGAGACAAAAGAGAATAAAATTGTAATCAAAATTGATAGGGAGAGAGTACATAATTCTTTTGACCTTAGAAAAAATGACCTAAAAATGACATAGACACATTCGGTGTTGCGTTGGTAAAATTGATGGTTTTCCTCTCCAAACTCTCAGTCTAGTCCCCCGCCAATATGGTATTAGGGATGAGGTGCAGGTTTAGAAGGGGTTAGGGGCTAGAAATTGTCAATTTTACCAATTTCTAAGATCAAAAGATCTGTTTTAGTTCATTTTATTACAATATATTATCTGTTTATATTTTTTTCAATCTAATGAGACACAAATAGCTAATGAATTCTGGGAAGTAACTTTTTACCACTCGATCCATGTCAGAAATTCTAGTGATTTATGTTAATTTTATGGTTAATATAATACATGTATCTTTTGAACGAGCTTATCAATTACATTGTGGACGAGCCAGAGCCCAAAGTTAAACCACTAGTTGCCGGACCTGATCGAAGGCCCAAACCACGAGGGAGCAGAAGACAGGCCGTATCCTATAGGCCGGAACTCAACCCAAATAAGCCTTTCCAGCCCTGTGTATTATCATTTGAGTATTATAGTTTGGCCCATGTACAGCCCAACTAGAAAACAATCAAATGCAATCTACTTTTCATCTTTTTAAATAGAAGTAAAATATAGAGAAAATATTAAAATATGAGTTTCATATTTTTATCTCCAAAATACGAGTTTGCACTGTGATAATGTTGCACTGTATATGTGCATCACAATATTTTTTGACAATGTATATGGTCATTATTATCACTGTAAATGCATAAACTATTATTTCGAAAATAAAAGCATTGAACTCTTATTTTGATATATTTTCAATATTTTACTCCTATTTTAGGCTTTTTTCTCGTTAATTTATGCACTTAACTTTCTATGCATGTCAATCTGAAAACACATTTTTTTTATTTATATTATTTTTATTGTAAGTGTTCCATTAACATATGACTTGAAACATTCTTGTCTCGCTTAAACAAATTTTAACCAGGTATTTTTTAAAAAAAAAATCTGTAAAAATTAAATGAAAACAAAACATTTTTTAGAATAAAAAGAAGAGAGAAGTTGAAAGGCACCAAATTAAATGAGCAGATGAGTACGGCATGTACGGGGGCGGAATAATTGCTTGCTAAAGGGCAAAGCTATTGATAGAGTGGAATCTATCTTATACTCCCTCAGTTCTGGAGTATTCGTCCAGTTTTGACTTTTGAAACTGTTCATCTAAGCACTTTGACTCATCAAATTCTCTCAATATGTAAGTCTAAATATAGTCATATGTGATCTTATTTGATTTGTCTTAACATATAGATTATTAATATATAATTTCTATAATTCTTTAATATACAAATTACAAAATAAAATGGATTAAAGAAGTGTATTGGATGGTGTGTAAAAATGAAAGTGGACAAATACTCTTGGACGGAGGTAGTATATTGTTTACAAAAAGAAAACCACAAAGCTAATTAAGATGGGAAATCCATGTGGGGATTTCTCAACTTCTTAATAATGTCATTTCACCTCCCGCATAATTATTACTCCCTCCGTCCTATAATGATCTTCCCGGTTCGCAAAACGAAGAAAAATCTCAAGTTTTTTCAATTTATTTTTTTTAAATATTGGTATAGAAATAAAAAATAAAACATACATATTTAAAAACTACACCAAAAGTTCAACAAAACAAGTGGTTACAAGAATATTTTATTTTATCATATAGGTCATGAAAAAACACAAATAAATATAAATTCCCGTGAAGTTGGAATAATGCTCTAGGAAGATCATTATAGGATGGAGGGAGTACATTGCATGCATTTACTATTTTTTTCAACAATTGATTGGAAAAAAAAGGGTTTATTGTTATTACACCTTCCTTTTTGTAACAATTTTTATTTTTGGAAGATTTATTTTTGTAACACCGTCTAAAAATTATCTTACCGATGACTATTCAAAACGTCAAATTTTATTCATTTTGTTAACTTATTTTTGTTTCCCATTTCATAAAACAATATACTCAAGTCATATCTAGTTTTAATTTATACTTCCTCCGTCCCATAAAACATTTCCTGTTTCAAAAATGGCACGCCTTTAAAATGAGTAATTTTAGTGTTATTTTTTAATTATGACTAATCTATTCTACACATCTCATCCTACTCTTTTATAAAGTAAGGGCAAAATTAGAAAATAACACCAAAATTACTCATTTTAAGGGCACGCCTTTTTTGAAACAGGAAATGTTTTATGGGACGGAGGGAGTAGATCTTTTGATGTAGCCTAAAAATATACTCCCTCCGTCCTATAATGATCTTCCCAGTTCGCAAAACGAAGAAAAATCCCAAGTTTTTTCAATCTATTTTATTTAAATATTGGTATAGAAATAAAAAATAAAACATACATATTTAAAAACTACACCAAAAGTTCAACAAAACAAGTGGTGACAAGAATATTTTATTTTATCATATAGGCCATGAAAAAACACAAATAAATATAAATTCTCATGAAGTTGGAATAGTGCTCTGGGAAGATCATTATAGGACGGAGGGAGTATAATTTTTATTTTTAAAATTTCACACAATTTTTATATAAAATAATTTAAAAATAAATCAACTCAAACAGCTTGACGCACAAGGAAATATAATACTCCGGTAATGAAAAGTAAATTTGTTTTTTATTTTGTTTTTAATGCAACAAAACAAAAGTTTATTCCGTAATAACATACGGCATGTTTACAACTAACAAGCTAGGTAACAATCATATTTATAGGAATGAATTATCTTGTAGCTAGGCATGTGGCCATATTATGGTGCAATCATACACTCCTTTAGAATGTCCGAGAATTACTTCGTCCTCAAAAATATTGTCACAGTTTGCTCTTTTTCATCAAAATATAGCATTCTTTTACCACGAGTCAAATATTAAAAAAATTAATTTTTTTCTACTATATTTTAAAATAAAACTAAATTTACTAGATTTATTTACATTATAATTAAATACAACTTTTTCCATAATTCATGGTCAAAAATTGCCACAGTTTGATCAAAAAAGTCAAAATGTGGTAATCTTGTATGGATGGAGGGAGTATTTGAGTTGGATTTCTAACAATTGTATTGAGAGGCAATAACTATGTTCAAGTTAGGATCTTTACAAGTACAAGATGTAAGTTTTACAGTTTTAATTCATTTATTTAAAGATTAGTATAGAAATTAAAAATTAAACTAGCTTATTTGAAAATTGCATTAAAAGTTCCATTCTAAAAATTAAATGAAATCTCATTGGATAATAGTAAAAAAATGAAAATACTCCCTCCGTCCGGTATTAATGTTTACGTTTTGACTTTTGGTCATTTTTAAGGAAAGTTGACTAACCCTGTGAAATGACCAAATTGCCCTTAATGAAGGAAAAAGAAGGGAATGAAAATGAATGGTGCGCAAGTCATGAATAGGAAAAAAAGAAGACTATTGGTTGTAGTTGGGAGAAAACACTATTTAAACAATGTTTTACATCCAATCAAACATTACATAACAATGATTAAAATCATTCAAATACATTCACATTACAAACAAAATTGGAGGTCCCTCCATTTTTTCCCTTCCCGCCCAAAAAACCCCCAACAATTCAGTCATCCCTCCACTGCCCACTGGTTATATAAAAGCATTCACTTTCCCCTTTTGGCTCTTTCATTCTTCTCTCATCTTCTTCTTCTTCTTCTTCTCCTCCTGCCTATGACAGCCTCTTTTCTTCTTTTTTTTGTTCTTTTTTTCAGTTTTTGAATCCCTGCAAAATTCATCAAAAATCCATAGATGAATTCCAAAAAACTTGACAAAACTACAAGGCAGCTTATTAGTGAAGGTTTGATTCGAAATACAAAACAGAATATTGATGGTTCCTATTCAGCTCAGAGGGGGCAGATCAACACGCTTGCTGCACAGTTTAATGTCTCGAGACAGACGATTAGCAAGATATGGGTCATCGTAAAAAACAATTAGAGCAGGGGGTTGCCATTGATGTGAGAAGCAAAATGGCAAGTCATTGTGGGAGGAAAAGGGCAAAAATGGATGTAAATGTCATTGCAGATACCCCCCTCCGGAAGCAGGGTACTATCAGAACATTAGCAGCAGCAATTGGCAAGCCAAAGTCCACTGTCCATCGGTGGATAAAAAGAGGTATGCTTAAGAGTCACACGAATGCTATCAAACCATACCTTACCGCTGCTAATAAACAAGCTAGGTTGAAATTCTGTTTAGACCAAATAGAACCTTTGAGTATCCCTCACCAACCTATATTCAAGTCTTTTCATAATGTATTGCACATTGATGAAAAGTGGTTCTTTATGACCAAAACATCTCAGAGGTTTTACCTTCTTCCTGAAGAAGTTGACCCCTATAGGACATGCAAATCAAAAAGGTTCATTGCAAAAGTCATGTTCTTGTGTGTGGTTGGTATACCACTTGTTGATGATAATGGAGTTGTTCTTTAAGATGGAAAAATTGGCATTTTTCATTTTACTGAAACTGTTGAAGCCAAAAGAAGGAGCAAGAACAGGGCTAAAGGGGTCTTGGAAGTCAAACCAATCAAGGCAGTTACCAAACAAGTCACAAAAGACATGCTTATAAATAAAGTCATTCCAGCTATCCAAAAGAAGTGGCCTAGAAATTTATCAAATAACATTCATATTCAACAGGACAATGCTAGGCCACACATTCAAGGTTTAGACTCAGAATTTGTAGCTGCACGAAACACTAATGGTTTCCACATTACCTTAGGTAACCAACCCCCCAACTCCCCAGATTTAAATGTACTTGATCTTGGGTTTTCAGAGCCATCCAGTCCTTAAAAAAATAGTGTGGTCCAAACACAGTTGAGGAATTGTTAGAGGCAGTTCAAGGGGCTTATGATGCTCTAAAACCAGAAACTTTAAATAAAGTTTGGTTAAGTTATCAGCAGGTCATGGCTACAATCATGGAAAAAGAAGGAGGAAACAATTATAAACTGCAGCATATGGGCAAAGGCAGACTGGAAAGGGCTGGGACACTGCCTAAGTCCCTTCACATTGACCTAGAGGTAGTTGTCAACACAACAAGACTACTTGGAGAAGGAAATGGGAGTACACCTGAAGATATAATTCAGTTCAACCCTGAAGAGGAAGATGAATACCTCTCTTCAGACCTGAACTGAATGTAATGGGAACAACAAAAAGGTTTTTTGGGCAGGGGAAGGGCTTTTGGCTTTTGGGATGTAGGCAGGGAGTATAATTTCAAGTGCTTAAAATATTTTTGTTTTTTACAAGTGCTTGAACCTTTGTATATATGTACTGAGAACAAGGCAACTACACAACCTGCTCTATATGTATTTACAACATCCAGCATACCTTACCTTTGTTTACTTTATACCACATCATCATTGCTGAACTTAAGGAAACTTAGAACACATATAAGGTACTCAGAAACACCCACACATGGCTAAGTGTTCATCATAATACATTTTCCTATTCCTATGATATTTATTCACAGTAATTAATATCTTCATATATTCAGGAAATACTAACAGATTATAAGTACTCAGAATCAGCCCATAATCCTTCATCACAGTACTAAAATCCAGTATTCACAGAAAATAAGAACACAAAATAAGTACTCAGAAACATCCACATTTCATCAATTGCTCATCACAGCACCTAATCCTTTCTCAGACCAGGTAGAATAAATCCAGTCATCATAGATTGGGAAAACATCACATTATGATACAATCACAACATCAAATTAAATATTGCGCAGGCACAATAACTCATCACATAACGAAAGGAATGCAGACAAAGGATGTAAAAGTACTTCCCTACTTGTACTACGAAGCCCAAAAATTAGGGTCTGGTCTGGGAAGTAAGATGTTCAACATATCAATGTGGAGGTGCATGCATGAGTAGATCTGGGAAGAATTCTTAGTTGGAGTGATATCAGATCCCTCTGTGCCATCAGTATCAGTTTCAAGAAGTATGACCTCAACCTCCTCGCTCTCCAGATGAATAACATAGTCACTTTCAGAGGTAAGGTCGATTACCTCTTTCGCTTTGACCGGGGCAACATCGGCAACGTTCTCGTTATTCTCGAGAACGATTACGTCGTCATCCTCCTTGTCGTCAGAGCAGTAGACGTAGGCGCCATCTACACATTGGGTTTCTGGAATGCATGATTCATATAGATAATCAGACAAATCCATTGAAGAGATGGATGAACTGAGAATATGTATACAGATCTAGATTTAGATCGGTGATGAGTGAGGAGAAGAAGAGGCGAAGAAGTACTTGGAGGAGTGGAAGAGTCAGATATCGGTGGAGTAAATGAGGAGCTGAGGAGGAAGGGGCGGATAAGAGACAGTGGCGGAGCCACATTGGGTCAAATGACTGCAGTTGCACCCACTGAAATTGGATAAGTTTATACATATATAGTAGTTTACTTAATATTTGGCTTAGCTGATTTGGTTCAAGACCTGGAAATCAGCCACTAGACCCTGAGTTCGAACCCCTCCCCCCTCCTTGTATGATAAATTTTTGATAGACTATTCCTTTATAATTTTTTTATTTATACTTTGACCCCACTCTCCCCAATACCTGGCTCCGCCTTTGATAAGAGAGTGTGAGTGGATAGGAGAAAATTAGAAAAAGGTGAAGGGTATTTTTGGAAGAGTGTGGTTTAAAATTAGAAATGTAAACTTTATTTTCGAACGGAGAAAAAGGAGAAACGTAAACTTTATTTCCGGACGGAGGGAGTATTAAAATATGAGTCCTTTTAAGACCAAAGTATAAATATAATGGTTGTTGGTGTAAGAGAACGCGTTGAGACTTGAGAGTGTGATTGATAAGTGTTGACACTAGAATTTGGCAATGAGACCAGTCAATCGTCGGTGATATTTTCGTCACCAGTAGTAAAAGATGACAGTGTAATACTTGCAGGGTGCTGCAAACTTATATTTTGATGAGAACTTTTATTTTAATGTATTCGTAATTTTTACTCTTATCTAGAAAATATTTCTCTAAATTTATTAGGGAACAAAATAAATTGAAAAATGCTAGGGGTACACCTTTGGTAAAGGTGTACCCCATTTGTCCTCCACCCCTTCCATTACCACAAAAATGGGCAAAAATTTTAAAAAAAATTAAATAAATAAAAAGTAGATAAAAATGAGTAGTGGAGAAGGGGGTAGGGACATGATTCAAATAAATTTGAGAAATAAATTTGGAAAGAGGAGAAAGTAATCACGCACGTCTTCCTGCTTAGTTGGCCATGACTCACTCATTCTTGAAAAATCAGGACCACGTACGTTTCCCTATTCATTTCCTCGTACGTACAAAAGACTCTACCAATAAGGACTGAGGTATTCATTTTTATTTTATCAAATAAAAAAAACATACAATAAATAAAAGTTTTTTAGTTTACGATGTTTAATTAAAATTATTTTTAGTTCAATTTTTATTAGAATTGAAATAGAATAAATAAAATTTACATATTTTAAAACTACTTCAAAAGTTTCACTTTACAAAATAAGATGTGATATGGTTTTGTTATTTTACCAATTATCAATGAGTAACAAAAACAAGAAAAAAATGGATGAAGTTTGATATTGTGAATAATAAACTGGTCATTTAATTTGAGAGAAAATGAGCATGATCTTATATTATTCTATGATAGTTGTGCTGCTTGACTTGAGGGTCTCTTGTAAACTTTCTCTCTCCTTTTGAGTCGAGAGAAGGTCTGCGTATACACGTACACTCTCATACCATACTCTGGTATGATTCAATTGAGTTATTGTAAAATTATTTTAGACTCCGCTTGATATACAGAATTTCTAGTCATGCAATTGGATTTAGAGACATCAATATCAATTCCGTTATTTGACAACACAGAAATATATAAATTTTGAATTGATAGTACAAAAAATAAGTTACAACGGAATAATTTAATTATATCCAATTCAATTCTTATTATGTCAAAATCCTCGTTTATATCAACAACATTTGGGAGACATGTTAGGCAATAACCCATTTTTTTGGCGGGGCCTAATGGGGTGGGACCCACATATTTCATTAAAAAAGACGAAGAAGAAAGAGCTTTATTTGGAGGAGGAGAGCAATTTTGACTTGCATCCAGTAGGCCGGGTCACGAAGCGGCCCATATAGTCGGTCCATCTCCATCAGGTGGCCCACAGTGAATATTATTCTTTACCAACCCACCCACATGCTCGTCCCTTTCCCTCCCAAAACAATTCCTTTCTTACCGCGTACGGAGTGTATGTATATACACACGTTTTGCTTCGCTCCCCCCTAATTTTGGTCGCCAAAAAGTAATTGTATTTTACAAAAAAAAATGCTAATGCTAATTGAAAACGTTATTTTTCAAACATGTCTATAATTGTTAAAGAAATCATAATAACTCTCAGTCTTTAAATAAAGGCTTTCATTTTGAATTTTTCGTCTGGTGGAGTGGCAGAAAACCCACTCCATAAAATTAATGGAAAATTTACTTAGATCCGAGCCATATAGAAGAGACAGAAACATTAATTCTTTATGCGTCATTAGGTTGAGAAACGTATAAACAAATACTACATTATAATCAAGCCAATAACTCTAAAAAATCTTTCATTTTGTTTACCACAATAAAAAAATTGAATCATTTTTATGAGATATTTTGAAAAATAAATGATCAGTCTTTTTTAGAACAGACGAAGTTTAAAATAAATTGATTTAAAATTTTCCAGAGTTAGGTTTGATATTTATTAACATCATTGAATGTCCAAATAATTCATTTGAAATTTTTACACTCATTCCTAAAAATGAAACGTTTTAGCAAGTTGATAACAAATTCAAGCAAAAAAGTACTCCGTATTTATTATCACACAAAATCTTTTAAGTTTCCGTAAGCCTATTAAATGGGTCGAAGACTCGCGCGACCCAATGCAACAAAACATGAGAAATCTCGACAATCAAAATTATGATACCCGCAACTCCGCAAGGTATAAATTATTTAGTCATTTAATCTAAAAAGTTACAAATTTAAAGATTCTTTACAAAAAAATTAAAAATATTCTTTTAATCAAAGTGTTAACCACCTTTTTTTTATTTCACACAAGAGGTTTCTAGAAAATAAGTTTCCCCAAAGAATTCTAATAGATGTTTGAGCTATTATTTACCTAAAAAAAGCTTTGCTTTTATTTTTTACTAAAAAAACACTTTCAAAAAACTAGGTGCCCTTTATTGAAAAATACTAAAAAAAGAATATCTTTAATATAATTTTTGATAGATGGTAATAATGGCATGGTTTATTAGTAAGTAAGCACAATAGAACAAGAAGCCGTATTAATTTCTTTCTTTTCGAATTTACCCCTAAATTCTCGATCTGGGAAATCAGAGTCTTCTTCACTTCTTCTTCCTGTCTCGGCGCATCTTTATTGCTTCGCAGAAGGTCGCAGTTACAGTTCTCTATCTCTCTCTATCGGCCTTTTTGTACGTATAATCTTCATAGCGATTTTGTGTTTTTCTCGTTGATATCGCTTTAACGGCGGCGGCGGCGATAATCGCCGGCGAGATTGGCCTTTACAATCGGGTTCCGAAATTTCTGTTGATTCTAGTTTGGCGGAGGGCTGCGTAGTCTATGAGGCTTGGTGGAAGTAGGGTTTGGATGTGATCGAGACTGGAGGCGGATTGTTGCTGTGTAAATGCTCGTGGGAGGGGATCTAGGTTTTCTCTCGCGCGCTTTTGTGGCGGCGTTCCTGGTGCTTGCCGGACCGTTGCTGGCCTTTGTGGTCAGATGGAAATGGCGGCGTGCGGTGGCTAGGAGGGAAGAGGTTGACCGGCTCTTGGTTTTTGCTTCCGATGAGGCTGCTAGGGCTGAGTCCCAGGCGGCTGCGGAGTACGGCTTTGGCTATGGGGGCTATAGCTTCGCCTCTGTGCTGGAAGGTGAGGTGCCAGCTGCTGTTCCGACTCCTTCTCCTGCTCCTGTATATTCAACTTCGTCATCTATGCAAGCTACACGCCAACAGCCGTACCAATGTGCCAATTGCTTTTCTCCAGCTTCTACTCGGTGCTCACGCTGTAAAGCTGTTCGATACTGGTATGTTTATTTAGCACTCCAATTTCCAAGAACTCCCCTTTTTCATTCACTATCTGGTGTTTCCAATCCCGAAACTGTATCTTTTCAGTTTTGCCCCGGATGAATTTTCCGTTAAAAGGAATTTCTTGATTATGATGATCACTTGTATTTCATCTCCAATTCAATAGTTGAGCTGGATGTGAATTCAGAGCTTGCATATCTGCTTAAATAAGCTGTATTAGAACCAGCTACTCTTTAAGATATAGATTATATTATACATTTGTGAGAATTAAAAATGTTGAATTGTTGGTGTCTTTTTTAATCCCCAAGCAACACCTTCACCCCCCCCCCCTGAAAGCATCAATGTCATTATATGCACCGTACAGCAATTTGTACTTCGCACAAGTAAATATTAGGTTTTTAAGAGAGGTTTAAGCTGCAGGATATTTTCTTGACGTGAGGAGAGACAAACACACCAAAATTCACGACATCAGGTGATTGAAACCATAGGTATTCAGGTATCAACACATAGCAGCAATAAAATATACTCTGTAGAAAAAAAACCATATGATTAGTGAGTCATGAGTATGATGCAACCCCACACGACTTGACGTGGTAGCCTACATGGCTACACCACTAGATTGTTTCAAATGTCCATAGAATTAACGAAAATAGGGGTTAACTTCTAAACCTCTACGCAAGCCACCAAAGCAACTCGGAAAAGGTGAAATTCTTAACAACACATGTTAATTTAATCTATCTGGATAAGTAAAGAAATATTTGAAAATTTCAAGTTCCAAGAAGAAAATATATTAAGGGCTTCATATGTATTCTCTCTTAATACATAGTCTCTCCGTCATCCCAATATGCTTGTCATCATGGTCTCAATATGCTTTTCTCCTTTCTTTTTTGCCAATGGACCAGGACAATGGGAATAAAGTGGAAATATGACCAAAATGTCTATTACTTTGCCACACATGGAAAGTGGACAAACATATTTGGACGAAGAGAGTATACACTATTAAGTATTACTACATCTATCCTTATAAATGGCTGAACACACTTATTTCTGAAGTGAGAAAATAATATAGTACATGACATAATCATAAAAAAAATATTTTTTCACAATTTGCATCTTCCAATCTAAGTGCAGACACAAAAAAACATCAATCCATTAAAATAATCCAATCTTTTCCATTGAATGTTGTGCTGGTCTTCAACTTGTCATTCTTTCCTCCATTATTGATCTTACAAATACAGCTGACGTTGGAGTGGTGCATGAACATTGAAAAGTGCACTGGTCTCCCACTAAGACGTGCTCCGTGTCCTAATTAAGAACGGTGCATGGCCTGACACGAACTAGTGCACCAGTCCTCCATTTTCTCTTTTTTGTGCACGACTGACACTAGTTTATTGGGCTGTTATAAATTAGCTGCTGGCTTCAAAGGTGTAGACTGTTCTCTCCATTTTTCCCCATACTTGTTTGTGTTTATATTCTCACATATCCTGCATGTTAGCATTGTCATGGCATTAGTATTAAACTTTGCTCGTGATCCATAACAGTATAAAAAACTGCCTAACAAGACCAAGCAAAAAAAGCGAGGTGAGCCCAATCCTTATGACTCTCACTCACACACAACCACTACAAGGTTTCTTATCAAATTTCATGTCCTCATAAGGGTCTAAGGACACCAAGTCCAACCTCAACTTTGCATCCCACATCTAACATTCTTATGTGCCCTGCCTCTTCTCCTGCCCCCAACCAAAATGCTACACACTCTACTCACTGTTGCTGTTGGCCTGTTGCATATTTTATTGCTCCCTTATTTTCAACACTTTTTATGTCTATTCTATATAAGTATTACTCGTACTACTTTTGTGATATTCTCACCAAACAAAATTAATGTTTCAGTTCTGGAAAATGTCAAATAGTCCACTGGAGACTTGGTCACAAAGATGAATGTCAGCCACCTTCAAACAGTAATCATGGCAGTAATGGTGAAGAAGCTAATCATTTCAAGGTATTAAAGCAAGGGGAAAATGAAGGTTATGCTGGCGGAATCCAGGCTGAAGAGGATAACTCTCCTGTATCAATTGCTCCTTCATCTCCAGAGATTGCGCATTCTAAAGCCAGAATCTCCACATCATTAAACATGGATAATGCCAGGAAAGGAAAGCATTTCACAGATGGAAGATCTACAAACTCAGATTCTGGCTTTTCATCTTTTGCATTTTCAACTCCCACTGCTTTTGAATCCAGTTCGAGCACATCCACAAGCGATTCAAATTGGTCTCATGGTATTGGCAATTCTACTGTTGCCGGGTTTGATTATATTGAGACGTCTCAAACCACCCCAGACCACCTTAGGCCACATTTTCTGGAGCAACCTACTGTGGTCAGTTCTACAAATTCTGTTTCTACTTCTAGTGCATCAGGTCTTGTAAATATAAGCAACAATGGATGTACAAAATCAAATCCATTAAGTTCAATACCATCAAGTTTTGATGGTTCTGGCAAGTCTTCATTATTGGACCCCTCTCTACCATCTTCTGACTTTTGGGAAGGAATAGCTCGTTACAGCAGATCTAAAGTCAACACAATGGAAGATGACGGTGCTCATCCTGATTCTGAAGATGTTTTCACCTCCAACAATTCAGACTCTCAGTTGTTCCCGAACTGTTCTTCTAAAATGGCCCGAACTGCTCCTGTTTCCAGTGCGAGTGAGCAGAACTCAAAAGTAAAATCATCGAGTTTGGATTGTCCAAGGACTGAAATATCTGTAGGAAGAAAGGAAAATGAAGGAGCTCAGCTTTCACAGGTTAAAGATGATATAGACATGCAAAGTTCTTCATCATTGAGAGTAAAATCGCGTAACACTATGGATCTCAGTCACTCCACAGAGAAAACAATATCATGCCATGAGGATTCTAGACCTTTTCTATTCACTGATTCCCATTCATGTCCAGTGGAGAATGATACATTGAAAATCAAAAGCGCAGAAAAAATGTCTCATAATACTCACACCATTGATTTGTTGAAGAATGCTTCATATACATCAAAAGCCAGACAAGTCGAACACCTTCCTGCAAAGCCTCCTCTTGTTTATCCATCTTCTAGTATTAGAAGGCATGATTATCAAGGTGTGAAGTCCATAAAGACAGATAGTGCACAAGTGACTGTTTGCTTATCAGGCCCAGGAGGTGATTCACAAAGTTCAAAGGTTGGCCAGAAATCAAATATCTTGAAAGGTGTTGACCCATTCAAAGTCTCAAAGTTGTCACAGCACAATTCGTTAAGAGACTGTGGTGAAAATGTTGGAAGATACAATAACAAGGTAACCTCATACTTCGCTAAGCACTCTTTTCTCGTATGCATGTGATCTACTGTTTGTTGGGTTCTATTGACATTTGATTACATAATCTTTGACAGGGCCTATTTCCATATGAGTTGTTTGTGAGGCTTTTCAATTCCAACAAGGTTGAATTACACCCATTTGGCCTAAAAAATTGTGGGAACAGGTATCTAAAGCTTACCAGTTTTTGCTCATTATGCTTTTTTAAGACTATTTATTTGACATATTTATTTGGTTTTGATCCTGTAGAGCATAAATATCTTCCATGAATTATTGATTTTTTTGGGCATTTATATCAGCAATTGTTTGTTTTTGGCTTGTGTGCCTTCACATATGATTCAAGACTTAGCTTTTAGTGGCAGCAGCTATTACTGATGCATGGTCGACCATATACATAATTAATCATAATTCCAATTTATTGCATGTGAGGTGCTAGTTACTTCCACGTGTTTGTATTTTAAATATCCAAACCTCTTGCTGAAGAGGGAACTTTTATTAATGCTATGGTAGGTAAGTAGTGACTTGTCTTTGTCAGGCTGAATTTTTTTTTTTGATTTCTTCTAATATTTTGCAGCTGTTATGCGAATGCTGTCCTGCAATGTCTGGCATTCACTCCACCCTTTACGGCTTATTTCCTTCAAGGATTCCATTCAAAAGGATGTGAGTTGGGATATTCATTGTATACTTTGTCTTTCATCCAGCCTTATTTTCAAATTATTGTAACACCTAATTATTCCTCTGTCCACGGTTTAGGTGCAAAGAAAGAGTGGTGCTTCACATGTGAATTTGAGACTTTAGTACTAAAAGCGAAGGATGGGAACTCTCCACTCTCCCCCATCTCGATAATATCCCGTTTGGAGGATATTGGGAGTAGTCTGGGTAATGGCAGAGAAGAAGATGCTCACGAATTTCTCAGGTGGGTTCTCTTATTCAGTGCCCAAGATTCATTCTTTTTGCACCTCAAAACTGTCCTCAAAACTCTCTTGCTTAGCTTAATCATGTTTATATTTTAGGTATGTCATAGAGACGATGCAATCTATTTGCTTAAAGGAAGCAGGTGTCCGTGCACCGAACACTTCAGAAGAGAAAACATGTCTGGTTGACCTCACATTTGGGGGCTTCCTCCGTTCGAAGGTAATAAGTTATGTTCTTCTAGAAGCATGCTAGAAGTTAGAGCTCTATAACCCCCAAAGAAAGAATACGGAGTAATAAATTAAAGAAACACATGAGAGCACACTTTAATGTGCCCACACTACGGCATGTGGTAATAAACCCATGTGGGTCCCATGCATGGGACTGAGACGGGTTTATTATAACATTTGGTAAAGTAGGCACATTAACATTGATTTTTTTTAGAACTTTATGTAACCCTCCTGGTGATAATTCAATAATATACTTTGCAGATTGAGTGCTTGCGATGTGGAGGCAAATCTGAGAAGCATGAAAGGATGATGGACCTTACAATTGAGATTGATGGAGATATTGGAACACTAGAAGGAGCTTTAAAACAATTCACACACACTGAGGTTCTAGATGGTGAAAACAAGTACCACTGCAGCAGGTACTTTACTTTCTCACAGTAT